CTGCTTGTGTTCCTGCCCTCGCTCTCTCTCTCTCTCTGTCAAATAAATAAATAAAATCTTTAAAAAAAAAAAAAATGAAATCTCATTTAAAAAAAAAAAAAACTCTTTCACAACTGATGAATTCCTGAACTCTACATCTGAAACTAAGAATGCACTACATACTGGCTAATTGATTTAAATAAAAAATATATATATTTCTAAAAAAATACCACCATCTGAGCTTTCAGCAAGTAGTAATCACTAATTACAGATATTAACAAACATAATAATGAAAAGTTTAAAATATTGCAAGAACAACCAAAACGTGACATAGAGACATGAAGTGAGCAAATGCTATTGGAAAAATGGTGCTGATAGACTTGCTTGACACAGGGTTGCCTGCCATAAGCCTTCGATTTGTAAAAAAAAAAAAAAACACATCATCTGCAAAGCACAGTAAAGCAAAGCACAATACAATGAGATAGGCCTTTATAAATGTACCCACCATAGTTAGTATTTTTTTTAACATCTGGATGAGATGTCACATCTTCCAACAGCTAAAGTTCTTGAGCAAAAAAATCTCACCTCCGAGCTCACATTAGCTGGCTCCAAGCCCAAGTCCTGATTTTTAAGACAACCGGTGGGAGTTACGTAGGTGAGCCTGGGAAGCCGCAGCGCCTGGAGGAACACTGAGATGAACCTGATGATTCCACTACCCTAAGAAGAAAGAGGAAAGTATACATTAGATTTATAAAAGTAAAAAGCCTTCCGCTTACTTTATTCAGGAGTTCCAAAAGTAATCAAAACTTCTTAGCCAGCACTATATAAATTCTGCCTTGCATTTGTCTTTAAGTCACCAACACACTGTAGTTGACTTGAGACTGATGTATAATCTCCAGCTTTCAAGGAAGGGATTACCCCTAACTAACCACAGTCTATAGGAATCTGTTGCGTCCAGGAAAAACGGAGTGAGAGCAAAGTAGAGAAAGAGCACAGGAATGATTAGGCTGCCCCTGATTACTCAATGTTTATTTCCATCCAGCGAGATTACTTTCCCCTCAAACTGTAAAGCACTAGAAGACTTGCTGCTGGAGCCACTGTCAATTTTTCCAACCTCTTGGGAAAGCCGTTTGGCAGTGTAGATCAAGAAACATTAAAATGTTTATATCCTTTAATGCAAGATGTGAGCTACTGTGGACCGGCTCACTTGGCATAAATGCTAACTTCCCTCTTGTGGCTTTGAGCACTGTGCACGTGACCTTCTGCATTTCCAGATGCCCTGGCAGCTACGGTTCCTGGTGTGAGTTAAGTTCTGCCACTCAGATGCCTGGATTCAGAGCGGAGTTAAGAGGGCAGCAAGGCCAAGATGCAAGGCACCCACTCTGCTGGCATAGCTAAGGGCAACAGGATTTTATCACAAGCAGCTTCTTGGTTTGGGGGGTTTCTGATTCTGACAGAAGTGAAATCCGGGGACTAGAAGTTGTTTCTGGAAGCCCCATTTACTTTTACACCCATTCCAACAATTTTGGAAACCACAGAATACATAACAAAGACTTTTTGCTTAAACCAGCTAGAGGAGTTCCTGTTCTCTGTAACTGAATGCCAACCAGGCCAGGCGTCAGGGTCTCCAAGAGCACCTTCAGGCTTGATGCTTCCCTAAAAGGACCCAGAGGATGCAGAAGTTGTATTCACAGTTGCCATTTATTGCAGCAAAAAAGATAAAGTCTCCAAGGGAAAAGGTGCGTGGGACAAAGTCTGGAGGAAGGCAGGCATGAGCCTCTAAGAGTCCCTTCCTAGCGGAGTCACACCGGATATGCTTAATTCATTCAGCAATGACGTGTGACAAGTGCAAAGTGTGGTCAACGAGGGAAGCTCCCCTGAGCCTGGTTGCCCCGGGTTTTTATGGGGCGGGGAGGTCAGTCACATAGACATACAGTGCCTGAATGATGGACCTCAGTAGAAGCTGCACACCCACAGGGGAAAATCAGGGGCTCGCTGTAAATCACATTGTTAGTATAAACTATCTAGAAAAACAGTTACCATGTGGCTCAAGACCCGACATGCAAAACACTTATCACTGAGAATATTCCAAGAGCTCAGTTCCCATGAGCCAGTCAGGGGCCAGTCACAAAAATGGCCCTTTCTTGGGAATGTGCCTTGTTTGAGTGACCCAGATCTGCTGAGTTAACCCTTTCCCACCCACCAGGAACCCCGCTTATGGACATTTATAGTAAACAATTACCCAAAATATGGAAGAAAGTAAAAAAAATATGAAGATTGTAATTTAAAACGGCAAAAAGCCAGGGGTAGAGGGAGAGGTTTTGTGACTGAAGGTCTCAGGATAAGAAAACAGTTATGTCAGTTATGGTTCATCTGCTTAACTAAGTTTTAGGCAACCACTAAAACATGATTATGAAGCACTATCATTCATTTTATGAAGCATTATGGTAAAATGATTATATATAATACGGAATGAAAATTCAGGGTATGAAAGTGTCCATATCCTCTAATTACAACTATGTAAAAACTGAGAAGACATCTACCAAAAAAGCAACAACCGGGTAATTTTTTTCTTTATTTTCAAAATATTCTATAACACATGGCTCTTTACTTTTATAATAAAAAAAAATTAATTTTTAATACTTCAAGCAAACTAGTCACAGTTTTGTTTTGTTTCAGTTGGATAAGCAGAGGTTCCTAAAGGCAATGGTAAAAAGATCTAGGGACAGCAAAGAGGGAAATCAAAATGAAAGTCACATCCATACCACCATAGTCAATTTGGATCTGGTCAAAAATTACATAGGTTTAATTTCCTAGGATCAGTTTATGGAGCTTCTGTGTGGAAACCATGGTGTCGCCAAGCATGGTCCACAATGAACGGAAGCGGCTGGCACATTGGGTCTTGGTGGTAATCAATATGGGTATTTCAAGTTGGCCTAAAATGGAAGTTGTCACTTGGTGTAGTTTCCTTTTGATTTAAATTTGAATATTTGTCAACTTTAGCAATTTCCTCTCCTCCATGTAAGAAAGTCTTCAATGCTTTCCATATAATACTTACACAGCATGGTATATCTTCACATTCCTTTTCAAATGCTAATTAAATCTCTAGTGGGTGGAAATTATTAACTTTAGCAAAAGTAGGTTTAATTACATTTTTTGGAGAATCTAAAAGTCTTAATAAAAATCAAATATCAATGAAATTTTAACTGGTGATGTGTGTTTATTAAGGTTTTAAGTTACCCAAAATAAAAAATCACAACTCCTTTCTCCAGAACCCAATGGTAATTATGAGAATGCCATTTTTAAAAAAGGTGTCTTGATGAGCATGCCTTTACAGTTACCCTACTTTTATGCTTTAGGATTTAAAATTTCATTTATTCATTTAATTCATTTTATTCATTCAGTGAGCAAATATTTATTGAGTGTCTACTTATTCCAGGCATTCAACATACAGCAGTGAACAAAACACAGAGCCTACAATTAGGGCAAGAGTTGGTGAGGGAAGACAGACAACAAAGAAATTGAGTAATAAAGTATTTTACATAGTGGTAAGTGCTTACAGGGTGGAAGGATAGGTAATGATTGAGTGGGCGTGCTATTTTTAAAAGAGGGCTCAGTGAAGCTGGGACAGGTCACAGTTGAGCAGAAAGCAGACTGCAATGGGCCAGGCAGGTATCTGTGAGAAGCACTCCTTGCAGGGGGAGCTGGGAGGGTCAACGGCTCTGAGAAGGGACAGCGCTTGATTTGTCTGAAGAACTATAAAGACCTCAGACAGTCTAAAGACTAAACCAAGGTCCATTAGACTGCTCGGCTGCCATGACCAAGTACTGCAGACTGGTGGCTTAAGAGAAATTTATAGTCTCACAGTACAATGTCCAAGATTGAGGTGTCAGCAGGGTTGGTTTCTTCTGAGGTTTCTCTCCTTGGCATACAGATGGTCACCCTCTCCCTGTGTCTTCACCTGGCCTTTTCTCTGTATGTGGCTGTGTCCTAATTTCTTCTTCTAAGGACACCTGTCACACTGGTCATATCGGATCAGGGCCCATCTTATGACCTCATTTTAACATAATTCCCTTTATCTCCAAATACAGTCTCATTCTGAGGTACTGGGGGTTGGGACTTCAATACAAGAATTTTAGCAGGACACAATTCAGCCCCTAACAAGAGGTAAGTGGTAAAAGATAAAAAGTCAGAGAGGGGGCGCCTGGGTGGTTCAGTCGGTTGGGCGGCCAACTCTTGATTTTGGCTCAGGTCACGAGGTCCCAGGATCGAGCCCTGCATCAGGCTCTGTGCTCAGCGGGGAGTCTGCTTGAGATTCTCTCTTCCTCACCTTCCCCCTGCTCACACTTTCTCTCTCTGTAAAATAAATAAATCTTAAAAAAAAAAAAGTCAGAGGGATGGGAGGGTGAGGGGAGAAGATTAGGTAGGGCCTTGAGTTTGAATTATTCTGATGGAAATGGGAAGCCATTAGGGGGTTTTAATCAGGAGAACAGCATAAGCTGTGCTTGGTTTTCAAAAGGTCACTCTGACCCTAGCATGGAAAATGGATGGGAATGGAGCAAGGGTAGAAGCTGGGAGATCACTTAGTAGTCTGGAGACAAGACCTTCTCTTTTGCTTAGGACAGTCAAGAAAGAACTCCCTGACGACAGAGCATTAAAGGGAAGTAAATGAATAAAGGGAAATTCATGGAAATACCTGAGGAAAGAGAGAAGCAAAACAATTTTTCAATAGAAATTGAATGTAGGGGCGCCTGGGTGGCTCAGTCGTTGAGCGTCTGTCTGCCTTCGGCTCAGGTCATGATCCCAGGGTCCTGGGATCGAGCCCCACATCGGGCTCCCTGCGCTGCGGGAAGCCTGCTTCTCCCTCTCCCACTCCCCCTGCTTGTGTTCCCTCTCTCGCTGTGTCTCTCTCTGTCAAATAAATAAAATCTTTAAAAAAAAAAAAAAGAAAGAAAGAAATTGAATGTAAAGAGGCTACCTAATGAATTTAAGGTGAAATAAGTATTAGAGTATTCCTACTCTCACATGATTTGAATATGTAACTCATTTATTAATTTTATTAGCCTGACTTGTCTAATTTGCATTTCTTTCCTATTCCTGCTTTCAGATTTTTTTATTCCCATTTTATTTCACTAATTTTGCAAGCTGTTCTGTATCTTCTTTTATTTGGAATTTATAACTGAAATTGAAAATTTAAGTACTAACTTGAAATATGGTCATAATTTCAGTAACACTTAGTGTTGAAATAGCTAGATTATCCGGATACTACAACCAAGTATTCATTAGAGTCATTGAAAAAGCAATCAAAATCAGAACTTAATGAAGCTCTTAATAATTTTATGTGTTTGGGCGCCTGGGTGGCTCAGTTGGTTAAGCGACTACCTTCGGCTCAGGTCATGATCCTGGAGTCCCGGGATCGAGTCCCGCATCGGGCTCCCTGCACGGCGGGGAGTCTGCTTCTCCCTCTGCCCCTCCCCCCTCTCATGTACTCGCTCTCTCTCATTCTCTCTCTCTCAAATAAATAAATAAATAATCTTTAAAAAAATAATAATAATAATTTTATGTTTAAGGAAGAAACTATATAAAGAGAAAATAAAAACATTTCTTACTGCACTTCAGACATATTGGAAACTGCTTTGAAAGTTCAGATCATTTGAGGCTCTCCGTGCTTATGGCATTTCAACCATCTGCCACCCTCAACTCGCAGACCTGCCACAGGGTCTTCTTTTCCAAGACTCCTTGAACCCCATCTTGGGAAGGAAGCAGCAAAATAACAGGGGTCCTAGAATTCCCTAAACACCTAAACTTCCACCCTTCCAGCAACATAATACATGGAAAATTTTGAGAGAGGAAGAAGGAAGGAGGGATGGCAAGAAGACAGGGCAAACCTGCATATATTTTGACCTAGCAATTTTAGTTCTAAGAATTTACCATAAGGAAGTATTTTAAAGATCTCATCACTGCATCTACTCATGAAAGAATGAAACAGCCTAGAGCTCTAGTCATAACAACCTTCCTTCTAGTGCCCCTACCTGGCCCTACTTCCTTCACTTGCCTAATTCCTACTCATCCTATAGGCTCAGCTTAAATTCCACTTTCTGAGAGAACACTGCCCTGACCCCCAAGGTGAGATTAGGGCATTCTGCTAGTGACTCATATAGCACCCTATCTCTCTGATTCTGTAGCACTCACCACAATAGTAAGTAATATTTGTGCAGTGCTTAGTTAATATCTGCCTGTCCTCTTCTCTTCCCAGACCACAATCTCTGTAAGGACAGAAACTATGCCCATTTTCTTCACAGCTATATCCTCAGAGTGTATCACTGTGGGGCAGATAGCATGCTCTCAATAAATATGTGTTGGCACTGGATCCACTTTAAATGGATAAATTTTATGGTATGTGAATTACATCTCAATAAAGCTTTTTCAAAAAGATGTTACCATTAACACATTAATTAAGGGGTGCCTGGGTGGCTCCAGTCGGTTAAGCATCCAACTCTTAATTTCAGCTCAGGTCAGAATCTCAGGGTCATGAGATCAACTCTGGCATGGGCGTCCGGCTCTGTGCTCAGCAGGGAGTCTGCTGGAGATTCTCTCTCCCCCTCCCTCTGCTCCTCCCCCCTGCATGCTCACTCTCTCTAAAATAAATAAATAAATATTTTTTAAAAAACATAAATTAGGGGCGCCTGGGTGGCTTAGTCGTTGGGCGTCTGCTTCGGCTCAGGTCATGATCCCAGGGTCCTGGGATCGAGCCCCACATCGGGCCCCCTGCTCAGCGGGGAGCCTGCTTCTCCCTCTCCCGCTCCCCCTGCTTGTGTTCCCTCTGTCACTGTCTCTCTCTCTGTGTCAAATAAATAAATAAAATCTTTAAGAAAAAAAAACATAAATTAATTAATTAAACAAACTAATGAAAATTGCCAGACAGTGGCAAACAATGTAGATACAAAAAAGTATTTGAGCTGTATATCTATTGACAGAAAAATCTTCAAGAAATATTATGCAAAAAGTTTTATAGAACAATTTATACAACATGATCTTGCTGTTTTTGCTTGACAAAAGGATATACCCATATATGTAACTAATATATATATATAAATATATATATAAAACCAATATTAAATGTGCCCATATTTCTAGGCACAGTTCTAAGGGTTTGTGATACCAGTGAATAAAGATCCCCAGAATGCCCTAATCTCACCTTGGGGGTCAGGGCAGTGTTCTCTCAGAAAGTGGAATTTAAGCTGAGCCTATAGGATGAGTAGGAATTAGGCAAGTGAAGGAAGTAGGGCCAGGTAGGGGCACTAGAAGGAAGGTTGTTATGACTAGAGCTCTAGGCTGTTTCATTCTTTCATGAGTAGATGCGGTGATGTGGAGCTTACATTCCAGCATGGGAGACTGGCCATAAGTAATAAACATAATAAATAAGAACATTTTACAGTATGTTAGAAGGCAAAAAGGGCCATGGGCAGGGGGGTGCAGGGGGTTGGTAGATGAGGATTTAAGAGTGCTGGGGAGAGGCATGCTGCAGTTGTTGTTTTTTTAAGATTTATTTATTAGAGAGAGAGAGAATGCAAGCGGTGGGGAGGGACAGAGGGAGAGAGAGAATCCCAAGCAGACTCTTCGGTGAGCGTGAAGCCAATGTGGGGCTCCTCCTGTGAGATCATCACCCCAGCCAAAACCAAGAGTTGACGCTCAACCGACTGAGACACCTAGGGCACCCCCATGCTGCAGTTTTAAATAGGGAGCTTAGCCTAATCCTTGGAGAAGGATTATCTGGATACTACAACCAGAGCATTAGCCAAGCGGGTATCTGACAGAGCAGCAAGCCCCCGAAGCATGTTGTAGCCTTTCCTGTCAAGGAACAGTGAGGAGACCAGTGTGGATGCAGCAAAGCAAACAAGAGGGAGTACATTAGGAGAGGAGTCTGTGGCAGCCATAGTCCCTGCTGCCACTGTGGGAACTTCAGCTTTCACTCCATGAGGAATGGGGGCCATTGCAGGAATGTCACCAAAGAGAGAGATGATCTCCTGTTTGAGAGGATGGCTCTGGCTGCTGAACTGCGGGGGAGTAGAGAGGCTGTTTAAAGGTTAGTGCAGTAATCCAGGCAAGAGAGGACGGTGGTTAAGACCCAAGAATGAGCAGAATAGGCGACTAGGAGAAGTTAGTGCCCAGATTTCCAAAGACGGAGCCAACAGGATTTCCTAATGGACTGAATGTGAGGTGTGAAGACAGGAATCAAAAACCAAAGTTTGGGGTCTAAGCAACTGGGAGATGGAGTTGACAATAACAAAAATGAAAGCAGAGGATGAAGGCTGGTTTGAAAAGAAAGAATTGGAATTTAGCTTTGGATGTGTTATTTTTGAGCCGTTTACCAAACATTTGTGCTAGATTATTTTCAAATTATCATCACTGGCACCCTCTGCTGAAGTAGCTGCCCAGAAGCCAGGACTACACTTCCCAGAATCCCCTTCTCCATCAGTTAGCCAATGAGAGATGTTCCAAGTGGCTTCTGTTTGAGCTTTCTGAAAAATGCTCACCTGGGGATAGGTGCTTGTTATTCACAGTAGCTTCAGGACTTTACTGACTGTTGCCTGAAGGAGCTGGTGGGAGGATCCTGAAATCTGTGATAGCTTCCAGACCTGTGCTTGCTGCAGGCTGAAACACAAGTGACAATTTTTTGTCCTTTCTTCTAACCAATGGCCTTCTAACCATCATTTAAACTTCCAATTCATAATCAGCATGCATAGTCTTCTGTTTTCCTGACAGATAAAACATGCAAATGGAGATGGGCAGTGGGCAGTTGGAAATGTCAGTCTGGAATGTGGTGGGGAAGTTGGGGCTGGAGATGAGATTTGGGGGTCATCAGCAAATGACAGCATTTAAACCTTGAGCTTGAATGATCACCGAATGAAGAGAGAGAAAAGTTCAAGAACCAAGCCTGAAGCAAACCAACCTGGACAGGCTGCAGGAAAAAAGAGGCCATGTCGGCTGAGGAGGAACCAATGAAGCAGAAACATCCAGGCCAGCCTCACACCCCGGAAGCCAGAAGACAAAGAGCAGCAAGGAGGAGAGAATGGGCCACCCATGCCAAGTGCTGCTGACGGGTCAGTTTTTAGCTGACGGCTGAGAACTGACCCACTGGATCACATAAAGTGGAGGTCACCGGTGACCTGGACAAAAGCAGTTCTGTGAAGTGGAAGAGTTTTTTTTTTAAGCCTGACTGGAGTGGGTTTTAGAAAGAATGACAGGGAAAGAATTGCACACAGCTGTGTTCGTTGTAAAAAGCCTGGTGACTTACATGAAGAGGTGGGCAAGCAATATCTCTGGGTCATGTAACTACAGGTGAGGTTTTGTCCCTTATATCTTTTTACTGATTAGCTGAAATGAACATGCACTCCTTCTCTAATAAATAAAAATAAAATTATTATCAACATCTCATCTCTCTGTTTCAACTACCAACCTGCCGTGGCCTGGGGCTGACTCTGAGTTCCAAGGGGCTCAGGTCTAAGAAAAACAAACGGTAGACACATACAAGTTCTTGGGTGTCAGTCTCAGTTCCCAGACATTGCTCCACCTTCTCTTCACCCCAACACCATCAAATGATGCACATGCTGTCTGTTGTTCCCAAACTCCAATTACTGAGCATTTTCAAATTAAATAGTACCTTGACAACTTCAAAATTCTTTTCAATAATTAAAATAAATGTTTATGGAACACTTCCCATGTAGTAGGAACTTGCTGAACACTGCATTTAAAAAGATGAACGTGATTGCCAAGGGCTTAATTTATACTGTGAGCACTGTTTATGCAGGAGAGCCAAAGATCCGTCTAACAGATACACCTGTCAACTCTACTGAGGAGAGAAGGGAAAGATGAGAAATGTCAGGCACTTGAAGGCTGTAAGACCTAAAAAGGTAAAAAAGAATCCTTGGGAAATCCAAATGTGACATTTTATAAAGAGTGTTAACCTGTTATTGGAATTAAAACGCCGAGAGATTTTTGTGAACTGCTTCTGATCCTCTGTACCCAGAAGCACTTAATTAACATTTACTGAACTAATTACCTCACTTGCTCTCCTTTACTGAAGTAGTCATAATGATTATCCCCTCTTTATAGCAAATACAAAGTTAGGTTTAATGAGTGCAGACTAATTAACATACAAGTAAAGCTAGAGAATCTTCAAATGTTTGGAGGGCCCACAGGGGCATTTCTCTCCAGCCTCCAGATTTCTGTCATGGTAATGGTGATGTGCTCAATTTCTAGTCCCTGGGGTTGCAAAGTCCATCTGCCAAAGAAGGGGGTCTTCAAAGTACAAAAGGGAAGAAAACAAGGATAAAAAAATGGATATGACAATATAGCTGAGGTGAAAAGTCATAGTGTTAAATCTTGGTGAATCTCCTAACTACTGATAGTAGACATACAGTAAAATCTTACCAGGTTAATGAATAATAATGATGAAGCTAAGTGCTTTTCACTAATTTAATGCTTTCACCTAATTTAATGCTCAAAACAACTGGAAGCAGAATTATTAGCCCTATTTTACAAATGAGGAAACCGAGTTTCTGGATGGCCTGAGTGATGAATGACCCCAAGGCCGGCTCAGGGCCAGCCAGATGAATGGGGGCAGCTGCAGGCTGGGGTCCCACAAGGCGACACAGAAGCATTACCAGTACGTTTGTGCAAGAGTGATCAGAAAAAGAAGAGGCAGAGGAGTGCAATTCTGCAGGAGGTTTTCAGCATTTAGGGACCTCTCACCTATAGCTAGATTCTTGGCATACAAGGGCTCAAGAGAAAGAAGCCAGAATCGAACTCAGATTATGTCAAAGACTCAGAAATAGACCACTGTAGATTTATTATCAATGGTCATCAAGAGGGAAGAATCAACATGAAAGCCTCGTGGGGATGACAACTGTCAGAATGTACAGGCTTCAATAATTTGTGACAACCTAGGAAATCTCAAAAGTTGGTATGCAGAATTGCTTCATATTGTATTACACTACTATGTTGTAATGAAAAATGCCAAATTTATTTAAAATGTAAAATGAAGTGACAAATCTTGACCAGCAGGTGGCAGGCTTACCTCATGATGATGTCTTAAAAACCTTGCGGAAGGATTACAGTAAACTTTGGAATCTAGGTAATATCATTACAAAAATTCAAATATATCTCATACTTAGCAGGAATTAGGAATGCAACATGATTTAATCATACTATGTCCTGTAACTTCATGGCTAATGTTGACTAAATGTGTTCATTCAATTAACTGCAAGAACATAAGATAATACATGTAGGTATTAAGTGAATTCATCATCAAGACATTTCCACACACTAGACACAAAGTACAATGTCTAGACCATTCTAAATTATAGTGGAGGAAATGATATATTTAATTATTGATTTCCCACTAAGATATTTAATATATTCTGTCTTCCTATGTGAGGCTTGCACAATTTTATATTGCATACTCCTGTTTCACTTAATTTTTTAAAAAATGTTTAAAGTTTTCATTTATTCTACATTTAAAAGTATATTTCACATACTATTCAAAGTTAAAATGGCAAACCCCATCAGATAACCATGGTAAATTTATGCTTACTCTTAAAATATATGTTGAGTCTAGCAGAGTAAGATAACACATTTTGCTTTATTGAAAAGAATATTTCTTTCTTTACCTTATTTACATTACGACAACTTCTGGCTTCACTAACTAATGTAATAAGTTAATAAGCATGCCTTCCCCCAGAAGTCTGTTGGGCACTAAGAAGGAAAAGAGAAGTTTCCCGCCTTTGAGGAGCATATAACCATATTACAGAGACAAGACCAATGGAATCTTATGTTTCTGGGAACCTTCTAAAATTCCAAAATATATGATTGCATATACATTCCCTTCAAAAGGCTTACATTATCAAAGTGCAACACGGCAGCTGGGTTGACTTTTGAGTAAGGAATGGTCAGCTAGGCACTCCTCAACTGAGTTACTCATTAGCACCTCACACCACAGCCCGACCCTCACACATTCACGCAGCCACTCTTCAAAATTCAGGTGATTACAATTTGTATCTCAGAAAAGCTTCACAGGCCTAGGTATCCGAGTCCCCTTTACTTACAGAACCAGAAAATGTTCAATCTACAAATGCCAGGCGTCTAAGAAACGCATGGCATGATAAAAACAAAAGGGGGTGCGTACATTTCAAATGTCGGCTAAGAAAAGTCAGGAGACAGAATGGACCAAGTCACGGAAGGCTGGGGGTGCAGGTGACAAGTGCAGAGCTGGACAAGTGCGGGTGCGAATAGCTAAGGAAGATCTCCTGACAGCAATAAAGGTGAGCTGGAGCTGGGATGATGGCAGAGATTCAGAGAAAGAAGGGCCGTTTGGGTTGGGAGAGAGATATGAGAAAATATAAAAGAGCTTTAATTATTATAGAACATTTGGGAGACACTTCACCTAATTTAATTTTTAAAATCATGTGCTCTTTACTGCTCACTAATCTTCTATGAAGTTTGTATCTAATAATTAATCTTCTAGGATCCTACTGTGCTAACCCTCCATAAGCTGATTTTCTTCATGCCAACTGCACTGTTGTGGGCCAAATTGTGTCCGTCCCCCCCACCCCAAATTCATATGTTGAAGTCCTAACTTCAGTTACCTCAGAATGTGACCTTATTTGGAAACTGGGTGGTTGCAGATGCAATTACTTAAGATGAGGTCACAATGGAGTAGCGTGGTCACAATACGACTGGTGTGCTTATCAAAAGGGGACATTTGGACACAGACACACCCCAGGGAGAACACCATGTGAAGACTGGAGTGAGGCTGCCACAAGCCAGTAAACTACCAGAAGCCAGGACAGAGGGGCCTGGAACAGATCCCTCCCTAAGGCCTTCAGAGGGAGCACGGCTTGCTGACACCTTGATCTCAGACTTCTCGCCTCCAGAACTATGACACTAGTTTCTATTTAAGCCACTCAATTTGTGGTACTTTATTACAGCTACCCTAGAGCAAACTAACCACGCACATCAACCAGAATTTACTACCTTGACTCAGTGTTGTACAGGTACAAACAGATACAGTGAAATCCAGTAGGAGTATCCAGATGTAGCCGTCTATTGGAATGTCAGAGCAGGGGACAGACAAACTGTTGCAAGCAGAGGCTGTATACATCCAAAGACTCTGGGTCAAACTTCTTTTGCCAACTTGAAATCAAGTGCGGCTGCTGGTGGAGGCCCGTGAAACAGCAAAAGGGGCCGGATGAGGCTCCTCTCTGGGTTCCCATCAGGGGAGGGCGGGCCGTGCCCCTGCTCTATCAACCATCTGTTTGTTTGCCACATCAGCCGGATGCGAGGTATTCACACTGCGCTCCTTGACTCTTCTTGTTCTTGTTCTCATGGCTTATAGGTTGGCAGACAGACTACCTTGCATGGCAGAACTGGGCTTTTAGCTCCACTGCCAACCCGAAAAATGATCCAGAATGCTCCTGACCCTGATCCACACATCTACGACTCTCCACCTTTGGTGGCCGTACTGTGCTGATTCTGAAAAACAGAACAAAACAAAACAAAATAAAAAACCGTCCGTATCTCTCTGCTTTTTTGGTGACTTATTTATTAACTGACATCCCCATTTCTGAAAAGGACTTGAGGTGACTTAAAACAAAAACACCTGGCCAACATGTACATTGAAACTCTATGATCTGAAATGGACAGGGTAGCTACCCATTCCATAAAGTCTATTTTTATGGAATTGTCAGGTTTTCCCAGATACCTAGTGGAAACATATGCCCATCTGTGCTATTAGAATGATGTGTGCTTTCAAACTCTGAAATAAGTTTTATCAGCTATCATGTTGCCTTTTACACATAGCAGATAACCAAAAGTAAATTGATCAGTGGGAATGGTAGAGAGAAGGGGGGGGAAATGTTCCCATTTCTCATTCTTATTATCTGCTGATTACATTTCCCTAAAACAGACTCAGTAACACAATAAACTCATGCAGGAAAATTCACTTTGTGGAAAATGTTTTGTGTGTATTTCTAACTTGTTACTGTACATACTCTAAAGGTGACAGAACTTCTAAAAGAGACAGAAAAAACTATAAGAGCCAAATATATAACAGAAGAACAAGGAGAGGCTAAAAATAGGAGAAATAAAAATGAATTGAGTGAATCATTTTTTTCTATGAAATAAGCATTCAAGCACTACAACTCCTTACAAATTTTTTTACACAGAGAACTGCAATTCCAGAAAAGAGGCAGGGGTGGGGGATGACTGACAACATTTAAAATTTGTAACAAATGGATTTTTTAGAAAATTTTTAAAGAAAACAAACAGAATCCAAGAACTTCAGTGAGAGCAAATGATCGTAGACCTTTTCTGTAAGAGATGTTTTGAATTATCTTAAAGAGTCTCAAAATAAACAAACAAAAAACCAGAACCATTTCTTCGAAAAACGAACATATGGTACAGTTGCATTCAAAACCCAATCCCATGCAAACCACATTCAAACTGCATGGCAACACACAGCTGCCCTCTCCCGAAAGATTAATCATTTAATTGCATCCTTACAAAAAAGAAAACTTCTCAGGCCCTCATGCTAGCAGCACATTGCATTAGCGTGACACTAACGTTGGCCGCCTCTGAAATTGTCACTCATTTGCCAGGCTGTAAGCTGATTCTTCCATATGAGGAGACATGAGTCAGCGTAAGACTATTACACTGAAGGATGACACAATGTTCTAGACAAACGTTTTCTGGAAATACATGGTCTTAGTCAGCTCTGCTTACTATAACAAAATACGATAGGCTAAGCAATTTAAACAACAGACATTTATTGCTCACAATCTGGCAGCTAGAAGTCTGAGACCTGGGTGCCAACACGGTCAGGTTCTGGTAAGAGTTTCTTCCTGGCTGCAGAAGACTGCCTTCTGGGTGTGTCCTCCCATGGCAAGGAGAAAGATCTTCTTGAGTCTCTTCTTGTAAAAAGCGCTAATCCCAGCAGGACCCTACCTTTAGGACCTAACTACTTTCTAACCCCACTCCTAACACCATCACGTTGGGGGTTAAGGTTTCAACATATGAATCTGGGGAGGACATAACTCAGTCCATAGCACACACACAGGATCTATCCAGTTCCGCTCCCCTTTTGAGGTCCTCTCTCACATAAATTACTCATCTGCGCATAGCACCCAAACCCAGCAGAACTCACCCCAGCGGGTTTTGAGCCTGTACTTTGGGCTAAGACAGTAGGGCACCTGCCACCTCAATAGCAACGGGATGCTGTGCACGTTTGTGTATAGAGCTTCTCGGCCACAGGTAAACACCATAGGCAGTCAGCACTTTTTTTTTTTTAAAGAGAAAGAAGGCATTTTTTTTTTTTAAAGATTTTATTTATTTATTTGACAGAGATATAGAGAGACAGCACAAGTAGGCAGAGTGGCAGGCAGAGGGAGAGGGAGAAGCAGGCTTCCCGCTGAGCAGGGAGCCCGATGCGGGGCTCAATCCCAGGACCCTGGGATCATGACCTGAGCCAAAGGCAGCCGCTTAGCCGACTGAGCCACCCAGGCGCCCCCAGTCAGCACTTTCTTACACCAGATCGCAAGCACTCGAAGGAAGGATCAGTACACACATTTTGTAAATGAGGTGGAACTCGCGTGGTAGGTAGGCTACACGGCTGGGAGGAAAGTAGCATTCGTGGCAGGCTGGCCAGAGAGGCAGGATATAGAAGACTCTTATTTCCAAGCAACTCCATCTCTGGAGGTCCAGCTACTCTGCCCCCCATCGAACACCAGGCCTGTTGGAAAGGGCCTCATTACATTCCACTTTGGGCTGGAAATGTTAAGTGTAATTAAATGAGAAGAGCACAAAGATTCGTGGAGCTCATGAACTCCATGCTCTCCATCATTCAGCTTTTATCAACAATATGCCTAGTATTAGTGCTCTTGTGACCATTGTAAAACACTGGACAGACTCCTCCAAAATCCAGAACAAGGTGAAATCAAATTCCAAACATAAATGATAGCTTGGTTTTCCTGGCATGCTGTAGTGTGTTGTGATCTGAGACCAGTAATCAACCAATTAGGCCTTCATCAAACAGTCCAAACTGGATTAAAACCTGTCTGTGCAACCCCACTCCAATGTGGCCACAGCAACTCTCAAGTAATTTGACTGAATCAAAGAACTGCCACGGCCTCCCAGTGTCCCCTCACATAACAAAACCCCTACTTATAGGGCAAAGGGCAGTGGAGTCTCTGACTTCAGCATCCGATCCCTATAAGATACAGAATATATGAATCCTTATTATATTTAATCCTCATAGTATCATGCATTCCTTAGGTATTACAAAGATTTAATATTAAGCCAGAATGGAGCCAACCCTGTGGGCAAGCAGGAACCTTTGCAAGTCTCCCCGTAGGCTCCATTCACCTGCGAATTTGATAGGTATCTTCAAAACAGATGGATCTGATGCCCAGATATTTACATAGAGAATTTCCTTTCATCCCTCCCTTTGGAAATAGGTTATATACTCAAACAGGTACGTTAAATTTTATGGTTAATGGAAGGGATTTTCTTTTTTCTTATTTAAATTCAATTAGCCACATAGAGTACATCATTAGTTTCAGATGTAGTGTTCAGTAATTTATCAGGTGCATATAATACCCAGTGCTCATCACATCACGTGCTGGAAGGCATTTTCTAGATTAAGTCTTACTATATACTAATTTTAGAACCCAGCTCTACAAGAGAAGCCACCTCCCCAAGTAGCAACTTGCTTCTAACTAAATAATCATTCTTTTTTTTTCTTAAGGCAAGCAACCATTCAAAATGAAGTCATTGCCTATTCTCCATATATCTCCTTTCCTAATATAGACTAGTTTATTTGAAAACTGTATAAGTCACTATTAAGCTCATATTTTATTCAACAGATATTTAGCAAACACCCACTATGTGCAGGATAATACCCTGGATGCAGAGCCTGTAAGAACATGAGCCGTGGCCTCTATCCTCCAGAGTTTTAACTAGTTTGGGTGGATAAGAAATGCCTGTTAAATGTAGCTTGCAGGGCACCTGGGTGGCTCAGCTGGTTAAGCGACTGCCTTCGGCTCAGGTCATGATCCTGGAGTCCTGGGATCGAGTCCCACATCGGGCTCCCTGCTCGGCGGGGAGTCTGCTTCTCCC